ATAAATATCTATTCCATTTACCTGGACTTCCTGGAGGGCCGGGGGGGCCAGGAAAGCCAGGTTTTCCTGGTTCACCATCTAAACCGGGAGGACCAGGATGAGTAGCTGGGAAGCCAGGATCGCCAATAAAACCTTTGGGGCCCATTTCTCCAGGAAAACCTCTTCCCTCATAAACATCTGGAATGGGGAAGAAAGTGGCTCTGTATGACTCTCAGGCGGCCATAGATGAAAAAAAATATAAATGAAAAGCAAACCAGTAGAGAATTTCTCACTATTAAAATGAACAAAACAATAAACCAATTATCATATTTACAATAATAAAAAAAGAAAACAAAATAAAATAAAAACACAGTCCCAGATCACCGTTAAGCCCTGCTGAAACAGAATAATTCTGATGTTTCCAAATACACTTTCTGATGGCAACATATTTGCTAATGCAGTATTTGATCATGTGAGGGCACAACCCAAAATACTTCTTTCCTGATCTTTCCAACCCTTGACTTCTTGTGTAGGTTGGAATCTGGCCCTCCCTTGATGCCTGGACATGATGGACTGTATTGTTCCAGACAAAGTGATCTGATCTCAGTGCAATGCTATGTAAGAGTTTAACAATTTGACTCGGCTTTAGAAACTAATTGACAAGCAAAACAATGACTGCAAAGCAAACATTATTCTACAATAGTGGGTCTCCCTGACAAGTAGTTTTCTACCACATTTTAAACTAGCTGAATCATTCTAAAGATAGCCTCAAATGAAGTTCACTTGAGTACTGTAGTCCAGTGGTGAGGCTCTGAGGTAATAAAAGTAGAAGCACCTTCATGATGCAGGTAGAGCAGCAACTGTCACTCCTTCTGAAGCTGAGCTTGGGCTCCACTGGCTACAGCTTCCATCTGCTGCTGAAGCAGGAGCCACAGGCCCAGGAAGATCCTCAAGCTGCAGACCAACTCCTTCAGAGGTAGATGACCCCATCAAGTGTCACTACTGTGGCTGATGTTATCTGATGCCATCAGATTTAACAAATGTATAGGAGCTTAATCTGGAATTTAATCTGAATTTTTTTCACCCCGTTCAGCCACCAATATATTCTGGACAACAAATATATTTATTGGATATATTGGATATATAATATTGGAACAACCGCAGGAATCTAGTAGGGTATTATTGAATACGATCAATCAATATGGTCAAGTCTCGGGATTTAAAATAAATCTAGGAAAAACCAAGATAATAGCTATGGGTGTGACTATCAAACAGAAGGAAGAGCTGGGGGCGATGCTAGGATGTGAGGTAGTTAAAAAAGTTAAATATCTTGGAGTTAATATCTCAATCTCAAATGGGAAATTATACAAGTGTGATTGTGAACCACTTTGGCATAGTACACAGTTGGAGTTGAAAAGGTGGGAAAAACTGCATTTGTCCTTGCTGGGTAGAATAGCGGCAGTAAAAATGAACATTTTAC